TAGACACCTTATACAGGGTAGCTATGAGTTAGAATTGATTCCATGTCATGAAACCACCACTACCACCACCACAGTAGTTGTAAAGTGGGAGGAGAAATTCTGGAAAGAAGAGAATTATAGAGGGAACACTTCAAATTTTGCAAATTATGTTCTGCCCCTATCTCTGGCTTACCCCTGAATTATGTACATGTGGAACAGACTCCAAGGAATCCAACTAAAGTAGAAGAACTGAGCAGAGGTTTCCGCTGCTGCCCACTCTAAGGGACTCCACAAAGAGCTTGGGCTTGAAGTTAGCTGATTTGTTGCTGTTGTTAAGAGCTGTTGAATCAGTTCCCACTCAAGCGACCCTATGTATGGTTTCTGAGGAATGGTTGGTGAGTTTGAACAGTTGACCTTGCTGTCCAAACCTACCTTGAAGTCCAGTCATTATTCTACAGTGTCACACCAGGACTTTAAGTTAACTGATTAGCTGTCTGCTAAAACAAAATAACCAAAGTTCTTTAGAGAAATGTCAAATAATCCAGAACTAATTTACACTGTCCATGGTGCAATTTCAAATTACTAAACAAAGAAACAGAAAAATGAGACCTGTACACAAGAAGAGATTCAATCAATAAAGACCAATGACAAAATGACCCAGATGTTGGAATTTCAGAAAAATATTTGCAATGATTTTAACTATGCTGAAGGGCATAAAAGAAACTGAAAATTCAGACTGATGTGATCGATATTTTAAGGCACTGTGATAGCACTAGGAATAGTCCTTACTTGTAGTCTCAAATAGCCCACATTTTCTCACTTAGCTATTATGAGATGCTGATGTGGCACTGTGGGTTAATGCGCCAGACTGCAAAGCTGTTTGAATTGCAATGTCGGTGGTTCAAGCTCACCTGCTGCTCCTCAGAGACTCTGTAAAGGGTTGCTATGGGTCGGATCCGACTCAACAACACTTAACAACAACAACATATCCTGTGTAGATTAAGCATTATTCTGATCAAAGTCAAAATTTAAAATAATAATGCTATGGAGAACCGTAGTTAGCTTTGGTAGGGACAATATAAACCAACAGCAAAAGCAATTAGGAATGTAATCAACTCTAGCATCTCAATTAGAGGATTTTTTTCCAAGACTGAGGTAGATGGCAGCTTGACCTTGACCACCACACATGTTTACTTGCAATGACACATCTGGGGAAAGAGACTACAATTTAGAAAGATCAGTGCTAGTGTATCTGTGTTCACTAATGTGCTGCATATGTGTCTGGTTGGTGGATATCTTGCCATGCAAGACACAGCCAAAACAAAGACAGCTATCATCAGAGTTTGAGAAGTAGAAGATGTAGAAACACAGGTTTTATTTTGCTGTGTAACTACATAAAGGCATAGTCACACAATGCAGTTGAACGTACAAAAGAAAAAAGAGAACAGGGACAGCATTTTTTTTTTTTTTTCTAAGTTAGAAATCTCATGACAATACAACATTCAGAACACAGGAAGGAATTCACAGTTACAGTGATGAGATGGCAGAGGCATCAGAGGTGTAAAGAGAGCTTGTGAGTGAATCTTTCTTAAGGATTTTTTGTAGAGAACATACTAAATTTGGAATGCCCTGTAAGTATTTAATTACTCACATGTCGATTCTGACTCATAGCGACCCTCTAGGACAGAGAACTGTTCCATAGGGTTTCCAAGGTTATAAACCTTAAAGGTACAGATTGCCACATCTTTATCTCACAGAGCAGCTGGTGGGCTTGAACAGCTGACCCTTTGATAAGCATGGGAGTGCTTTAACCACTGAACCACCAGTGCTCCTTGTTGTTGTTGTTAAGTGCTGTTGAGTTGGGGCTGACTTACAGTGACCCTGTGTGGGGTTTCTGAGGAGCAGTTGGTGAGTTTCAATGCTGACCTTAAGATCCAAATTGACCTTGAGGTCAAGTTCTTATTCCTAGGACATCATACCAGGACTCCTAGAGGGGAGTAAATGTGAGCACTGCACACATTGTACTTAGCTATAATCTGTTAACTGCGTACTTAAAGTATCCATGAATGTAAATATTAATGGGAATGTTTTCCTTCAGTCTTCTGTCACAAAAACTAACTTCAAATCAGATTATCAGAAACAGTGGTGTGGTGTATGTTGCCTTGGTTGCAAAGGAAGTGGACAAGTATAAAGCAAAGTCTTCTAAATTAGTTGCTCTCCATTTTGAAATGACTGTCAATATTCCACAGCATATAAATCGGTTACATGAAATATCTAATTGTTAGTCAAAATAAATTGACTGTATATTCCTTTGCTTTTGTAATGTGCTGTTTTGTTCTTGTTTGTTTTGAACAGTAAATTTAGGTTTACCTTGGTCATTTTTACAGAAAAAAACATTCTCTCAAAATAATTGAGACTAAATGAGTATTCATTATTACCCAATGGATAGATTACCTTCACATTTTCAGACCAGGGCAGTTCCTAAAGACATAGACACATGTAGAAAATGATGTTTGGTATGCCATTCTTATTTTAGTTTCTTTCTAAATTAATTTCAAAAGATTATACTATTTTCTCTTTAGATGCACACAAATAATGTCTCTTTTGAAAGGGTACACTTACTGCAAATTACGTAGCATAAGTAACCTTGCAGTGGAAGTAAGAAAATTATTAGTAAATATAAAAACAATTCCCGATTACTATTTTACATATACTACTATAGAGAAATTTGGAAGACAACTGTCTGGCCGACTGATTGGAAGAGATCAATGTTTATGCCCATTCCAAAGAGAGGTGACCCAATGGAATGCGGAACTCATCGGACAATCTCTTTGATATCTCAAGCGAGTAAAGTTTTGCTAAAGGTAATACAGAAA